TGGGCTAAAGCTCCGAGGCGCGGTGGGCGAGGCCCTCCCCGGCTGCGACTGAGGGTGGGGCGCCTTGCTGGGGGCAGGGGACACCCCCTGCCAGGGTCACCTGCGAGGGGTGAAGTGGAGAAGAAAGGGCTTTATGTTCATGTCCTCTTCTGCTTCCCCCTCCCCCCTCCCTCCGGTGTTTGGGTGTTTTGTTGCTCGGAGCAGCTGCGGGGGGCAGTAAGGGTCATCAGTGGAGTCCGAGCGGGCGCTGTGGCTCAGAAGAGCCAGAGGATGCTCAGGCGGCTGCTGCAGAGACCACAGGAAAAGCCTGACGTGGCCCCGTGTGTCGTTAACCGAAGTGAAAACGTTCCCGTTCCTTCTTGTCACCTCCTGTTTTTCTTTCTGTTTCACCTCAGCAAGGGCAAAGACGCCCCAAGATGACTCAAGCAGTGATGGGGAGGTACATTTGGGGTTGGAAAAGGAGGACAGACAAGGGGGTGGGGGAATCTTGAAGTCGTCCCTCAGCAGGATTCTTGTTGAACAAGCATCTACATTAAATTTCAGAACAGATCCTCGAGTGACACTCGCTGTTTCATTTGTCTCAGCCACTCAGAGCACATGGTCTGGCTGCATAGTCATTTCTCTTAATTTATTTATGTTTGCTTCCCTGTATGCAGCTACTGAGGAGATCTGTGGGATTTCTGGGGTAGGACAAAGCCTCTGCTTGTGCTGGAAGTCTGTACAGGGGCTGGGAGTACCTGACATTCCTGTGCCCTGTGTGTAGTGTTATCCCTTAGGCCAGCCCTTTGAAAAGCTCAATTATTATTTTTTCAAAGTTAACTGCTAGGGAATTGTCTCTAAGACAAATCTCCCCAACAGCCAGTAGACGGCTACCCCTAGGATGGGTTGGTGTTAATCCTGAATCGAGCTCCAGGTTTATGCCAGGTGTGGTGAAAATTGGAATGTGTCCCTCTGTCATTGTGAAGGTGCTGGCAGACTCTGCCAGTATTTTGCATGTTCCTGTAGAGATATGAGCACATTTAAATTGGCAGCTGAGTATCATAAGCTTGACACTTGGATTTAATTAACTTCACATCTGTCTGGATATCCAGAGGGGCTGAAATGGCCTCAAGCCTGGGCTGTAAGAAAGCAGGAAATTGAGGTCAAGGCCCAGCTGCAATTCTCAGGGTTCAGTGTGGAGAAAAGCAGTTACACCCAGATGAAAACAAGACTGCTGTATGCCTGTTTCTGGGTCACCTTCCTGCCTCTGTCCACATCTCGAGGAAATCAGTGAAAGAACCCCCAGAGAGTCCTAAATAAAATCTGTAGCTAGTGGAGCCCAAGGTGGAGTGTCTTGGCAGCAATTTGAGAAGGAAAAATGTAGGATGGTGCACACGAGATCTAGCCTGGAGTTTTACCAAGCACCTCAGCTACATGAGTGAAACACTGGCTAGGTGTCTTAGAACATGCTATTTCTCATAAAACATTGTGCCAGTGTAAGCCTCCAAGAGGCTTACAGCGGAGGATTTTTTTGTTAATACTTTTAAGCATCGAGATACAAGACAAAGCAGTGGGGTTTTTTGTATTTGGATTTATGCAGAAAGACTTTTAAGCTGGTACAAAGCCTGTCTGAAATCGTTTATGGCTGCCTGTGGGTCCAGGGGTCTATTCGCCTGAATTCAATTGCAAATTAGGGTCTAGAAACGTTAAGAGGAAATGGTCAAGCTGAAGCAGTTCTTTATAAAGCAGCTACATTTACTTTATTTCATAATGACTAAGATGGATTTAATTAGAAAACATCTCTGTTTTCAACTGAATAATGCTCATTGTTTACTGTTTGAGCCATTTGGGAAAATGGAAATAGGTTAGCCAGTGTTGCTCAGAAGCAGCTTTTATTCCTATGTACTAGTTCAGCGCAAAGCACTGTGGATTGCTGATACTGCAGAGTTGTCAGAATCCAGCCAAGATAATCCATTGAATTCTTAAAAAGATGGAAATAAGTGTTTGGTGTAATCTTTGGAGGGGGCAGTCTCTGGGAGAATCTGATGCTCCTCTAATTGCTTTTTTTATTCCGTTCATCCCCTGCAATGGGAACTGCTGGGAGAATTTGGGAGCCAGCACCTCTGGGGTGTGGGATCTGCCTGCCTGAAATCTGTAGGAGCTTTCTGCCCTCACTGTGGGGAAGGAGGGGGAACAAGCTTCTGCAATTATTGCTGTCGGGGTGATGAAAGGAAAAGTTTGAAATACAATTTCAAAGCTTGGCTGCTGCTGGGCTTCTGCAGGCAGAATTCCCGTTGAGCACAAGGAAACTTGTGTGGGACCGCTGCAGAATCTCATTTGTTTTCCCCGTTCACAGCAGCTGCTTCTGCAGAGATGGAGTGCAGGAGCTGGCAGCTGAAACAGGGAGCTTTTATGTTACCAGAAACTTTGGGAGACTATGGCATAAGATGCAAAAGGGGGGTTTTTCAATACTTAAAAGCCACAGCAGAGCCTGCCACTGGGCCAGATGCTGAGGGTAAGAGCGTTCACTTTGGATTCCAGCAGCCCCAGCACAGTGCAGCAAAGCTGGCTGCCAGGCTGGCTGCAAAACTCAGATGGTCTACTAAAGGGTGAGGGAAAATTATGATTTAATGCTCATTAAGCAGCATTTGGGTTTAGTTTCTTGGGCTGGAGTAGGACAATTTCAGACCTCAAGCTCTACAAAGCTGAGTTCTACCTTCCAAGCAAGAGACAGGTCTGATTGTGTTTGCAGATGCAGGTGTCTGCGTCACAGACAGATAGCTGGCTGATCAGCATCACCTCCCAGAGAGGTTTTTCACCTGGAGGACAAAGAAGGGACCTTAAAGAGATTTCGAGTTTAGAGTCTCTGAACATTTTACATTTGGTGTGGAGTTTTGCAAGCTGATTCAAAAAAAACCCCAGATCTTTCCAGTGAATGCAGCTGGATGCAGATGGTGGGGACTACATTTTAACTTGTGGTGTGAGGCCTGAGAGATTTCCAGGGACTTGATTTTGAATCAGCAGTTGTCGGGAGCAGGGAAAGGAGGGGAGTTTGGCGCCGTTGCTCATGAGGTGCCAGAATGGATGGCTGGCAGGAGGGCTTGGCAGAACTTCCTTAGCTCAGCATGCTCGGCTCTGAGGGATTGCCTGTTGCTGCTGCTCTGCCTGCTGATTTGGAGGAATTGTTAGGGAGGCTGTGATTGATTCTGACCCTGTTTTATTTATAAAATCTTTATTTCTTGCGCTGGTCTCCATGCCATTTTTTAATGCATTTGGTTGTCAAGGTGTCAAAAACTGGAGAATTGCTTTTGGAGTTTATCTCCCAGTCCATCCATCTTTGGCATTTATCAGGTAGCTTTTTATCACTCGGGAGAGAACTTATAGCTCCTTCAGAGTATCTGTTGCACCTCCAGCAAGGACAGCTGATGGGAACAGGGCGGCACTGAATCCCAAACCCCACCCGCCCTGCCAGGCTCTGAGCTGCTGCAGACCCAGCACAGATCAGAGCAGCCAAATTCTGTCCTGCTACTTCTAGATGCTCCATAGCAGAGTCTCTGGACTGCAAGTACATGTGTGGTAAGGCCCTCTCCCCTGTGGGAGGAGAAGGACCAGGCATCTCCAGGTTGCTTTCAGTGGCCATGGAGATGGGGGCTCTCTCCTCCTGGCTGTAAGGCTGTTGTGATCTTAATTATTGCAAGTGCTGTACTCGGTGAAGCAGACACATCTTGCTGCCACGGGCTGGGGAGGATGAGGATGAGGAGAGCAGTCCATGATGTAAAGGGGTAAATAGGAGGCTGGATGAACTGAACAAAATGGTATGTCCTTTAGTGTTTGTAATGCAGCTTTCCACCTGCAGTAAAGGTGAGATCAGCTTTTTTTTTTTTCATCTTTGAGGAGTTGCTGAGTTTCTTCCTTATGTTGTAGAGATGGATGCAGGGGAATTTCCTTTCTCTTGCATGGCAGCTTGGGGGGGCTTGTCTATGGTTAAAATCCTGGGCCCCAGGTGGAGGCTGTGGCACTGACCTCTAGCTCCTCCTGTTTGCACGTTGGATGGTTTCTGCTGCACCTTCCTTGGTGCAGGTGGTGGCTGGGAGTCTCTGCTTTGTGTGATCTGAACTCCAGCGTGCTCGGGGAAGGAGAATTCTGTCAAAAGAGATGTCGTTGCTTTGGGTAACGGAGGTAAGAAATGCAGCTCCGAGCCTCTTCTCCAATGTACCTGGAGTTGATGCTGCCTTACCAGTCTCTGGTGGACAAGAATATATACTATTGGGTCTCCCCTCTTTCTCCATCTGCCAACCCTAAATGACTTGAGTTCTCCTTTGGAAGCAGGCGCTGTAAATCTTGGATCCTCTGTCCCCAGGGCAGGCATGGCTGAATGCCGAGGATCTGTCTGATGGTTCCCAGGCTGCGCTGATGCTGCTCTGCCAGAAGAGAGATGGGAAAAAGATACTTCTGTGACTACTGTGACAGGTCCTTTCAGGACAACCTTCACAACAGGAAGAAACACCTCAATGGAGTGCAGCATCTCAGGGCTAAGAGAGTCTGGTACGACTTATTCCGAGGTGGGTAGTACCAACTGTCTGCCCCTCCCTTTCTGGGACTGGGGATGATGCAACGCCTGCACTAAGCGTCTTTCAGGAAGGAATCATGCCTTTATTCCGCTTTCTGTCAGCCATGACTCGTCGATTATGGTTAGCTCTTGTGCTTTTGTTTGCTTCCTTCTTCCTTCGTTCCTGCACTGTTTCCCGGTTCTGCCCGTGTCCCTTCACATTCCCAACAACAGCAGAGTTGTCATGCTTGTGCCTGGAGTAGACAGAAAAAGGACATCACAACATGCACACTGCATGCTTGGGGGGCAAAATACACCGATCCTGCGAAACAAGCGGGTGCAAGGAGTTCAGCTGTCAGGCCTTGAGCCTTGGCTCTCCAGGGCTTCTGCAATAGCTGAGTATCAGCATTAGCCATACAATGACTGTATCCTTCTACACATTGAGTCTGGCAGCTAAAACCAGCCATTAAACTGTTCTGAAATCCTCGTGAGAGCTGTTCAACTCTGGGAAGCTGTGCTCTCCAAGATCCTATCTTGCACAAGGTTCTGCTGCTTATGATAAAGGGACATGCCCACCCATTTGATGGGATAGAACAACTAGCAGTGAAGTAAAAGCTGGCTGAGGAAGTTACCACCATTGTGGTAGTCACCCTGATATACAGGAATGTTAAGGAACAGGTATACCCTCAACAATTCCAGTCAGCAACAAAACACCTGCTAACTGCAGAGCTATGGTTTCACCCCACAGAGGGAGATGCTTACTTACCCCTTCCTCGCAAGGTAGGCCAGCCGCCTGGCTTCAGCTCTCTCCCGCAGCACAGCTGGATCCTGCACAAAATGGTCCTGCCATGGGAAGGAAGGAGAGGTCAGCAAACTCATCAGAATCATGCAAAAGGCTAGAGCAGGAGGTGATTCTGTTGGACCATGGAACAGAGTCATTGTTCATTATCTCTTCCAGCTGAGCCAGCAGCGTTGGTTGTCATTGACTCTAAATACAAAATCTGGCAGAAAAACTGAGACTTCTTCCCACACCCTACCTCTGCCAGCAACACCATCAACATCACTATTTTCAGTATATCCATGGCAACAGAGCATTAGTGACCCTCAGAGTGTTCTGCTGGCATTATCTGCC